TAAATGATGAGAACTAACTAGCATTTGTCAGCCATAAGTTCTCATATGTTTTATTTTGCTAGAATTTTCCCTGATGATTTTTTGGTGATTTTCTTGCTTACTTCTCATTAGGGTTTCAATGTCTCCATCATTGTAACCATTTTTTGTCACCAAATTTTGTTGGGCCTTTTTCTTCCTTTTTTTTCTTGTGAATTCTAGACTCAAATCTATTTATTTTTATACTTCACTCTGTCTTCTTATATTCTCAGGGCATTCTCCTTTTTGAAAGTTATTTTCCCTCTAATGCCAACAAATTAAAACAATTTTTTTTACCTATCAAGTTTCTCTATCTTAGGCACTATTTACTAAGCTATTAATGCCATATGATATCTTTTGGATAAAGCTTTCTTTAAATTGAATAAACCATTTTACTTGCACTTATTATAAGGTCAACATTCATTTATCCTTTAATCATTGTTCGTTGTTGATTAGAATCAACACCATGGGTTTATAAGTAAACACTATTATAAGCATTTGGATTTTTTTTTTTGCATGGTGGTTAACAGTTTTTTTATTTTTTTTCAATGGTTATCTTATCTTTTATTATGTAATAAGCTCATAAATGCTAGGAAATTTCTCAAAATTTTCAAATGATATAGTCATTCATCAATAGTTAAAAGTATATTGGACTTCTAGCACCATCAAGAAAACACTTTCAATCTTCTAGAAGCTCAATCATCATGATAACATGGATATGTTTTATTAAGCACTATATAATCAAGAGAAATTTAACCTCACTAAATCTATGGAAGTTAAATGGTTCAAGAAAAAGGCTAAAAGTGCTTGGTTGCATGAACAAGGGTGAAAAAAATATAATCTTTTATTAGTACAATGTCGTAAAAAAACTATACTATTATTATAATGGTTAAAATTTTTAATGAGATTTTTGTATTTACATCTGATATTAATAATAAAGTATTTTCTCATTTATTTGACATTCATTATACCATCCTCAACATCATAAGAGGTTGTATTTCTTGCCTTATTTCTTAGGGTAGTTGCACTTTTCAAGCAAATAAAGCCATTATTATTATAAGATTGTGTTTTATTGAAATAAAAGTTGATCTATTTTCCAATATTTAAGACAAATGGGCTAGAGTTGATGAATTTCTAACTTTATTTTTGTCGTTTGGCATATTGTTAGTTTTGATCTGCTTAATGTTGCGCATTAATATTTTTTCACTACCATACTGCTAGACAGAGCCAAATATTCAACTATAACTCTAATTACTACTATTTCCAAATTCTTGGTTCTAGACTCAAATTCATTTTTTCTTCTTTATTCATGTTGCTTAAAATGTTTTATGAGAAAGAGATGTTATTACCATTAATACTAAGTTCTAAAATGAGATATTGTTACCATTGCTACTAGGTTCTATTTTTTTTTTTTTTATGTCAAGCTTGATGTTCATGAAATCTTGATTATTTTATCTTATATATTGTCTCATAATGATTGATAAAAAAAGTATTTTTAACAATTTTATCAATTGGATAAAGTTTTCATTGATAATATTTTGTACTCTATGATTATAAATTAAGTGATGATTCAAAGCCTCTAACAATTTCAATCAAGAATACTCTCTATCCGTCTTTCTCTTCTTCTTTATGATGGATATGCTCTCCACTATGATTGAAGCTCATATTAATTTGAGGAATTATATAAATATTAAATGTAATGATGTCATTATGAGCCATCTCATTTACACAAATTCTTATTTTGGATAAATTTGTTGTAACCGCAATTGTCTAAAAAACATGAAATGCTTTTAAACGACAATGGTTTAAGGATTAAAACATCAAAATCTAACTTTATATTCTAAAAGTGTGGATGATTGTTTTCAAACTTCTCACTTCTTTTCGTTAGATATAAATGCTTCTCATTATCTTGGAAAATTTTGGGCATTACTCAAGTTCTTCACTATTTATCAACCCACAACCTTTTTATGATGTGAAAAATGTGAATCTCTCTACTGAAGAGCATCGCTTTCTGCACCTTTTTTTTTATTTTCATGATGCTTAAGGGATCGACTTTTCTGCATTTTTTCAATATGTTTTGGTAACATAAGAGTGGGACAGCTTATTTAAGTAGTTAACTGATTCATTTAACTTGTAAATCATGAAAATTTTGGTAAAATTATTAAATTTATTGGAATGTGTAGTTACCTCTGTAGAAATCATTGCAATCATTTAAAGTAGGTTTAAGAATGAGTCCCCCATTTCACAAATAGTGAAATGGCATCTTTCTTTTTTCGTTTGCAAAGTTGAGCATAACACTATAAATTTGATCAATGATCTTATGATATTTATTATATCCAATGCGTGCCGAAAGATCCATTAACGTAGAGTAATAATTTAACGTTTTAGTGTTGGACAAAAATCCAATATATAGAGATTAAAAAGAATGTGCAATTACCTATAGATCACCTGAAAGTTGATATTTATAAATATACCAGCCTCTTTCAACCATTTTTCAAATTGTCACTTGAATATCAAAATTCATGGCAAAATCCCAACCCGTATTTTTAATTTTTATCATAATCTCAATAATTTGCTCGTGACATAAATACAAATGTTTCGTAGTTAAAAAAATCTCCTTGGGGTTTTAAGTTGTAAATGTCAATGTTTCACATGGTCTATATGTAATTATCCAAAAGAGAAATATGTAGAAGGAGATGACTTGATTTCTTAAGTGGAGAATCCTGAAAATGAAAAAAAAAATCTATGGGGTCCAGCCTAGTTGAAACAATTTACTATGTATTTGTAATTTCATAAGCTTACTCTTCTCTAGTATTAGAGAAAATGAAATTATAATATTGATATACAACGGTAGTTCATCAATAATAGCTATAATGGACAACAAAGATCGTAGTTGATTGCTATGATGAAAGTAACACGAAATGAATGTTATTTATAGTGATTGTAGTGTCAGCTAGGCGATAATTGAAAGCGGTGGTAGTAGTTGGTCATGAAGGTCGCAGATGGTTACTTCTGAAGCTTCGGTTAGCTCAACCGTAGTAAGGAGCCGCAAAAGATATGAGCTGCGTAGGTCGTAATTGGTCACATAGACCATAATGGTGAATTATAATAACTTTTGTAGACTATAGAGATCAGAGTTGTGAGATGCACGACCCGTGTACCACATAGGCCATAATTAGTCATGCAAACCGTAATAGTTAATTGTGACAATGTCATAGGTCACAGAGGTCGGCGTTGTAAGTTGTATGAGTGTGGACCATATGTAGGTCGTAATGGGAAACTGCAAAACTTTCATAAGCCATATAGGCTAAAATTGAGAGCTGCATGAGTTGTGGACCATGTAGGTTGTAGTTGGTCATGTAGGTCGTAGCGAAAAGTTATAATAACGTTTGTAGATCGTAAATGTCAGAATTGAGAGCTGCATGAGTTGTAGATTACGTAGGTCGTGGTTGGTCATATAGACCATATTAGGAAACTGCAATAACATTCGTAGGTCGCAAAGGCTGGAGTTGGGAGCTGCATGAGCTATGTTGAAAGAGCTTCAACAACGGTATTTTGAGTACGACGGTTGTAAACAGTTTTTGTGAGGGTTACACCGTCTTTGGAATGTATCGTTACACTGTATTTGAGGTGTGTTGTTACACCATTTTCGAGGCGCGTCATTGCACCGCCTTCGGAGTGTGTCGTTACACCGTATCCACTATTTCATCACACATAATAACGTTCGCCTTTATTATTATTATTATTATTATTATTTAGAAGAACACCGCCTTTATTATTATTATTATTATTATTATTATTTAGAAGAACACAAAAACAAATAAAATCTTTTACTGTAATAATATTATTATTATTATTATTTTAATTTTATTTGTATATTATGTGTTCAGTTTTTATAGCTCAATAATCTATATTTGATGCAAATATAATTAAAATAGCAGCTAAAAAAAAACTATATATTTGCTCTTCAAGCTTAATTCCCAAGTGCTGAACAAATATATAATAGTTAAATTGAACATTCAACCGGTTTAATATTTGAATTTGACCGTCGACCGAGCCTACAAGCGCTTATTTCCTTAATTTATTGCACTTTTGCAGCAGTTTTGTCTTTTAATGAAATTCCGGCGAGAGAATGTGAACAATTTGCCTTTTTGCTCCCCGAACAATAATTTTTTACATTCATGGAAGGATAAATATTTCTCTTATATTCCCTTATATATAGGAAAAGAATGAGAATGGAGGGGTTCTAGGGGAGCGATTATTGCGTGCGGAGATCACAGCAGCACATTTGCATGCAGAGCTGCATGCGCTCTCCGATCACAGCTGCAATGTGCGGCTGTGATCGGAGAGCGAACTCAGCTCTGTGTGCGCTCTCCGCATGCAATAATTAGACGTACATCGCGGTTGTGATCGGAGAGCGCACGCAGCTCTGCGTGAGCTCTCCGCACGCGCGGCTGTGATCGAAAAGCGCACTCTCCACACGTAATAATTAGATGTTGCAGGATGGGCTCTCTCACTTCAACAATACTTCATGCTCCCTGCACTCAAAGAATAATGGTCAAATAATAATAGTGTTATATTAATAAGAATTAAATACTTTAAATGATTAAATAATAAGAATAACATAATGAATAACATATTAATAATATTAATATTCTAAATTATTGGAAATAATAAAGGCTTATTAGACCCCAAAAAAAAAAGACTTTTTTTTAATAGTTTATGAATAAATATTAATCTAAATATCACTTTAAATCTTCAATTTTGAGCCAGGAACTAAAAATTAGTTAGTTTAAAATTTAAAGTTTTAAAATTCATTTTGAGAGAAGTGTGAGAAAAAAATTAATTAATTAATTTTTTTTGAAATTTATATATATATATATATTAAGATAATTTTCAAATTTTCAAAATTTCAAAAATTTTGGAGTTTTTCTTTTTTATTTTATTATTATTTTTTAATTTTAATTTTGGCCTCGCTTTCGCTGCTCGTATTTCACCCTCTTCGTTTTCCCCACCATCTTCCGACATATGCTGCTCCCTCACTATAATCCGCCAAATCTACGCCTATTTCACCTCTCCTCTCTCTCTCTCTCTCTCTCTCTCTCTCTCTCTCTCTCTCGCGCAGAAAGGACGCCATTGAAACCGTCGCCACCATGTCCTTCTCCGAAGACTTGTTACCGTCGCCGGACCGCCGTGGCCTCGGCACTCTTCTCCGGCACCGGAAACCATCTTCCTCTTCCACCGATCAAAACCCTCTGCTGATATCATCACCCCCTCCGCTTCCGATTAAGAAGAAGGCATTTTCTTCTGCAGCCTTCCGCAGCTTCAGTTGTTCCTCCTCCTCCGCTTCTCAGGCCTACGCGCCATCGTCCGCCGCCGCCGCTGTTCGCTCTTCGGCCGATTGGGAGGGGAAGCGTACACGGAGGAGGAGAACTGACCAGCAGAAGAAGGATAGGAGTTCGGCCGCCGCCGATGTGTGGCGTGCTC